TATGTTAAAAAACGACACATGATGATATCGCTGTATTGAAAAAATAATACGCATAATATTTTTTATTTATTAATATTAGCGTACCTATCGTTACCTGCTGTTTGTTCAAATATTTAAACAAATATATATATTTGGTACATAAACAGAGAATGACATAACCAAAAAAAAACAGAGTTACATGGAAGTGAAAACTAAGAGATCATTTCCTTTTGATGAGGATTTTGTCACGAATAATCAAGTGAAAAAATTTAAAGTACATATTAATGAAACGCGGAACAGTATCAACAGCATGTCTAAACATAATTTTACAAAACGTTCCAAAGTACAATCCTCAGAGGCATCGAAACGTGTTTCACTTGTCGAAAAGATGAAGCCAACGAGTATTGCGGCTTATGTGGGACAGAAACAAATTATTGGCCCAGACACTGTTTTGAGCTACTTATTGGAAAAAGGAGAGATTTCTAGCATGATATTCTGGGGTCCACCTGGATGTGGAAAGGTAAAGCTAGTTTTACTCTTCATTTTTACAGCTGCCTTGTAATAACCATCTACAATTTATGTTTCAGACATCCTTGACGAATATAATAGCATGTTTAAGCAGAGAATTAACGAGTAACAACGTGCACATTGTGAATCTATCTGCAGCCAATTCCGGTGTAAAAAGCATAAGGGAAGCTGTTACTGCAGCGAAGAACAAATCAAAATTCGGATGCAAGACCATTGTCTTCATGGATGAAATTCATTGTTTCAATAAGCTTCAGCAAGATATATTCCTGCCACACGTAGAGGCAGGAACGTTCACTTTAATTGGGTGTACCACCGAAAATCCGTCTTACAGTTTAAATCCAGCTCTGTTAAGTCGCTGTCGCGTATTTGTGTTCAATAAATTAACGGAACGCAATGTAACAGAGATTCTTTATAAGGCAATAGAGTGCATAAATGGTGGCACGCTCGATGCACAAGAAAAAGAACTGAAAAACAGCAGAAAACAGATTAAATTTCACTCCAATACAAAACACAAATTTCATGTTGATAATAATACGGTACAGTGGCTAGCAGAAGCATGCGATGGCGATGCACGTGTAGCTCTGAATGCTTTAGAATTAGCAACGCTTGCAAAGCAGGCAGGTGGATCAAAAGCATCATACAATAATAATGTAACAATAACTCTGAAAGATATTAAGGAAGGTTTAATAAAAACGCATGTGCTTTCTGAAAAAGAAACCAATCAGAGCCATCACATGTATTCGGCGCTTCATAAATCAATAAGAGCTGGTAAGGCAAGTGCTTCTCTGTACTGGATGGCTAGAATTATGGCAGCTAAGGAAGATCCGGTAAACATTGCGAGACGGCTGGTTAGAATATCTAGTGAAGACATTGGTCTAGCGGATCCAGACGCTTTAGGTAAAGAAACGAAATTTATTTTTCGTAGTGTATATGTAACTATATAAAGTGTGTTTTAAAAATTCAGGTGTAGCTGTTCATACAATGCATGGCTGTCAAATGATTGGTATGCCAGAGTGTGACGTGCTTTTGGGACAATGCACGGTTTACTTAGCGAAAGCACCGAAGTCTCGATCGATATACAATGCATTAAAAGCAGCTGAGAAAATGATTTTGGAATGTAAAGGTCCTCAACCTGCCGTGCCATTACATATGAGACATAACTCAGCAGACAAAGCTATATAGAGTAGATTCGATAAAATTTATACTTTGTTCTTTGCGTAATCATTACTAATTTATCGTTTTTGTAATAATAAATTTTTATAACAAATCCTTGTCTTGTAAATATTGGTAATTTAACAAACCAAGAAAATGTGGAATCTGTTTATTTATAGAACCGCAGTGTACCGATATTTTTCAAGAAAAGCAGAGCTTGTAAATAATTAAGACTTATATTTTGTACGCCCTTTTATTACACATTTATATCTAGTTGGTTAAAGAAACCATCAACCTCCAACATTTCAGCAAATTAAGCCAAAATTATTATCAATCCCTATTCTAACCTGAGATTGAGTGATTGCAATTGTCAGGCTGAGCATGCTTAATCGATACATTCATTATTTGTTATTCTATCAATTATTAATATTTAATAAATTATTTAACTATCAATTATCAATTCGCACTCACCTATTTGCGAACCTTTGTAATCCCTCTCGGCATGTTACAATTTACAATGCGATGTCGTGGATACAGGTTTGATATTAGCGCGCCGCTGGTGCAACTGACCAATGATGTTAGGTACTACATGTAAACCACCGACCATTGGCTGACGCTCCTTTTGTCAGGCAAATATATAATGCACACTGTGGAACTTGGAACTGTCACTGTAGTCGTGTGTGATATGTAGCGATCACTTCTACTTACATCACACACCTTCGAAGACGGCCTGACGCACAAGACGCCCGACATCGCGTCAGCCTATTCCGCTCACGTGTCACACGTTAAATTGCGGTGCCCATCCTACATGCAGTGTTGCTCGCCCTATCCGTAAAACGCTATGAAAATCTGGACGTCAGAGCATACCTTCGAGTGAGTACGAAACGTGCATTTAAACGGATACTCGTTATCTATTGTGCTCCGCTACTTGACGTAATTGCTTTCGTACAATTCGTCAGACATCCCGAATGTTGGAGTTTGTCTCGTCTAAGGACCGTAATGCAGTTACGCTGTGTGCCCTTGTTACATAACCTCGTTACACTTGTTCCATCTCTAAAAACGGACAAATTTCCTATTGATAGTTGAACGAGTAATGTAATGTGGGTTATGTCCAAGATGCAAAACTCTCAAAGTACTCATTTATCCTTTTGAATTGATTTCCAAAAATCTACGGAACATTTTGTATTTTACAAGCGTGAAAGGGAAAGGGTTAAAACAGGGTCCATCTATTTCTATTTCATCTAGCTTGACTTAACCTAATTTTCGTAAATAAAATTTTCTCTTTTCGTTTTCTCCTCGAGGATAATTTCATTGACTGAATCATTTTTAAGAATTGCATTGATTCTTCATTGAACGATAACAGGGGCAATAAATTTATTTGCAGTCATCCTTGGGAGACGGTAGCGCAGGCTGCATGGAGAAAGTATCCGAATCCTATGGTGCCTTCGGTTATTGGAGCGGACGTCATCGACAGAGAAGTAGTCAACGGTGTTCTCCACACTCACAGACTCGTCGTTTCTACCCAATGGGGCTTTCCTAAATGGACGCAAGCGGTAAGCCTTCTAACTTTCCCACGTGCTACCACATTGGCGCGCGTTCGATATCGCTTCAGCATACCTAGCTCTAACCTTACCTCTGACTCTAACCTCTGATCGGTATATCAGAATTGTAAATGTGCCAATTTTTTGATACCTTGCAAATAATACTTGAATAAATTATACAGTTAGATTATTTTTTTTATATACAATTTTTATATATAACATATATATATATATATATATATATGATATTTATGTAATAAAATATAGAAAATATAGAATGTATCTTTAAATATTAGATATAATAAAAAACATTTTTTATATGAAATTATAAGAAATATTTTTGTTGTATAATATTTGAAGATCCATTTTTCGATACCATTGTCATATTCTAAACTAGTTAATTAGTTACTATAACAGTTAACTAGCTAATTATTTCGATACATTCCAAATTAGTATTATCGACCGTGACAACGCTGACGCGAACATGATGTCACCAGTTGTTATACGTTATACGTAGCTATCACGTGTCTTTTATGAAACACTATCTATTCTTATCGACATTGATATATGATATATGTAGCTCTAGTCTTGTGCATAGTTTTTAAGGATATCACTTGAATGAGTTTGCCTCACGGCCAGAGCATATGGTCTTCTATATAGGCACCGAAGACTAATATAGAAAGTTAGAATGTAGAATATGCTATAGTATCTGGTAAAGCGATTATCGTACAAGATTATGTCTTTTAAATCCCGACCTAGATTCTTTAATTTGAAGATTAGATAGTTTCGACTTCAGAAAACACGATTATATCTCGAGCGAATGATCGAGAGGCTACTATTTTCTTACAATTAGTAACTCATTTAGAAGTACCTTAAATATTTATAATAATTATATGTACCAATAAAAGCGGATCGAATTTCTAATGGGGTTAATCGCGAGCTCGGGACCTTAATAAGTCTTAATTTATATTTTACGTGCCTTATCGATGTAGATATATTTAAAACTCGAAATCAGCAAATACTATTAAGAATAATTTTTGTATCGTAATTCGTTTCGTAATTCGTTCAGTAATTAGTAATTACTCGGACTTAACCACGCTAATTGACAGTTAACAAGAGAGATTATACTACTTGGTAGACTTTTCCTGTTTATGACGGAAAAGTACTCTATGTACCAGCCGCATAATGCTATTGTAAAGAACATTCCATCGTGTTCTACAGTACGTAATCACGCGGGTATCATCAACCTGCCGCAAGGTCGTCGTTCAATCGGTTCAATTTAAATCGACTTTACTGGTTGAGACGCGTAGACCGGACTGATGGTAACTCTGCGCGAACTTATCGACAGCTTTTTCTACTTAATGTAATAAAGTGTAAAAATAAACTTTAGCTTTCGCTGTTCTTTTATAATATATCAAACATATACATATACATATGAGTTTTGTTCTTATTAATTCTTATTCTTCTTTGATTGAACTGCACCATGACTCTACTTTTTCTCAAGTATTTATAAGATTGAATGAAAATTCATGAAAACGTATGTATGGGTCTGCACGATATGTATATGTGATTGCTCGGGTGAGTTCGCTAAGTTACAATGATGCAGATCAGTCATTTCTGTGGAACTTATCTACAGCTTGGTTCATTGATTTTTTTCGGCGCACTCTCGCGGCGGATGGATAAAACCATTTCATTTACGTACGAATTTATCGGAATGACCTTCTCGGAGACCTTCGCGACTCGGGTCGTCCGCCAGTAACTCTTGAATAAGTTATCGTCTCGCTCCGATTACTCAAAGACCTTTACAATTTATTTTTCAAACTTCTTCGCGCGCGAAGTTACGTTACTATTGCTACATACTTGATAAAGAAGAAACATAACTTAAAATAGATATTTATAAACTTCACCAATTGGTCTTTTGTACAAATATGTTCAATTGTCAAATCAATATATTTTTTAACATATATATACATTGACATATTACTTCTTAACTTTTAATTCTCTTATTTGAATAGCTGCAGAATCTTAGGGTGCGTTCCACTTAACGCTCGCAACGCTCGTGGAATCATTTCATCCTCGTTGTTTGTCAAATGTTAAACAAGAACGAAATGATGCTCGCACCTTTAGAAAACATTAATTTTGAAATTATTTCTGCGCGTTTTCTTGAATTGAAATAAGCTTCAGACAGTGCGATATTTAATATTAATATCTTGTATATTTTTAGAATGTCTAGCATTAGCTTTAATTTCAATTTGGAACAGCCTATTTATATCTTGAAATTTCTTGATAATTTAGTGAGAAAGTGAACTTCGGACGCAGCAGCAGATGTTACGACATGATTACGCAACCAGCATGCTAGTTGACGCTTGACTTCTCGGTGAAATCTTGCGTGAAGAGCAGTATTTTAAGAGTTAAGAGCAGAAGTGTAAATGTTTAGAAATTTATAGGGTAAACTTGGGTAAGATGGCCAACCCATGTTCATTCAATGTTTCATGGCGAGCTAGATTGAGAGAACATGCGGGTTGGCCATCTTTCCTCTATATGGCCATCTCAACCGAATTTACCTTAACGAGTTTTACTTTCCTTCAAATTATGTAACTTGGCCTCTGGTTAATTCTTACTTGGCACGAGACCACTACCGTGTCTCTTGATTATAGTAATGTACCGAATGTACTCGATAAATTTATTTTTTTTACAGCTTTTAGACGTTATTTTTTGGAAAACAAATTCCTATTATCTTACTTTTTCTTTTATATATCTATTAATAGGATAAATGTATTAATGTTGCATAATAATTTTTTAGAGGAACGATATTGATTACATTTACAGATTTCTTATTTCTGTTATTCGTAAGAAAAAAATTGAGTAATATTGCACTTGGTGCGTAACTTTATCGGTTGGCGCAGCTTTTTCACGGTTGTTCGCACAGTAAAATTGACGTTGCGCTGATCTCCGACGGGCGACAAGAAATCAATCCATGAAGCAACCTAACAGAATCATTCACCTCTTTCTGGTATCGCCCGTGGCGTGTCGATAAAAACCTCGCGCCATTCACCCTAGTCTAGCAATCTCCGCCGGCGCGTCGCGGCGACCCGGAAATTCGAAACTTTCAACAAACGTGCGCAAAAAGAAGGTGCCGGAGACCCAGGGAATTGCAAAACAACATCCGCACTGGCATCAACTTTCATAATGAGCACGCTCAATGTTACGCCGTTTGGCAATCGTCCAGCTAGACGCGCGCCCGCCTTCTGGAATACTCCTCAGGCAGCTCCCTCGGATTCCCAATCCTTCGCTATCCCACAGTGCCTTCGCCGGAATACTGGAGATTCCGGGGCGTCGAATCCCTTTCGGCCCGGCGAATCGCTTCCTCTCGTCAGATTTTCTATAAGCTCGGCCATTTCGCCGGGCCGTTTCGTTGTGCAACCGTTCGTTTAAATGGCTCGACTCATGTATCGTACGCAAGATGTTGGAGAAACGATAGAGATAAAGAAATCGTCCAGTGGATGACCGACGATAAGAATTTGCACGAGAGATTTATTTTACGAAGAGATCTAAAAGTCTATCGTTTAAACTATCGAAATGATTGATGAAATCGATGACGGACTTTATCTTTATATACTCTTTTTATCTTAACGTTATTCTCTATAAATAATATGTGTCTGTTAAATAATTAGATCGCAAAAACGATAACAAGAATTAGTAGGAAAAAGCTGTCGACTTTTTGAACAATATAAAAAAGCTAATACAATTTAAATTTAAAAAATTAGAAAAAGAGCACTCTCTCTAGCACACCAATATTCCGATCAAGATGTTTAAAAGTTTAATTTAGCACAAATATTTATGTATCGAACAAATGGGATCGAATATATAGGTTGTATTGATTTGTCGGATATTTCGTATATAATAACTGCATAGAAATCTTTAGTATTTAGACACGCTTGAAATTATATTTAACGATTAAAAAAGTGCGAAGGACCATTTCGGACCGCGGACACTTTCATCGACACCATTTTCAACGTTACGCCCCCCGATGCTGCACCCACCATCGCGCTATCCGAGTAATTAGCGGATGCACTCGACAACGCGCTCCGGAAAAAAAAGTACGCGAGAAAAGTTCACTTATCGCGCTCGTTCGCGCGAAACGCTCGAATTGGCGGCAGAGGGTTCGTATAAGCAGGCCGGTTTATTCGAGCGACTAATTAGAATATGCATAATTAATCGGCGAGGAACAATAATTAAAGTGTACTTAGCGTGCTAGTTTAATTAGCGCCTTTCTAATTACCTAATTACTCATGCTAATTTGTTATTAATATCGCGCCGCCACGGAAACTTACGGCGTTCCATTTTCTTCTCGGTCAAAACAAGCGATTCACACAGTTTAGATTGTCAGTATGTTTACGCTTTCGAATACATATTTCTCGCCACTGATCATTTCTAATGATTGCCGGTAGATGCACAAGAGTGGCTGGCGATGCGTTAAACTGTGCTGCCCAATGTGCGTAAAAAAAAATTTCGATACGAGATAAAATTGGGTTGATCGATCGTTTGTCACTAGGATGACTCTTATTTTTATTTGACAACATTTTATGATTAATCCCTTTCGGCTCAGTGTCTTTCCATGAAAAAGTGTCAGTTATGATTGATTATTTTTTATAGGCTTGCAGCTTTATCGAGATCGAGAACTTAGATATGTTTTTTTACAGCGATTAAATAAACGGTATCATAAATTTAGGGTATTTGTTATGCTTCTCGTGTAGCTGTGAGAGCAGAATAATGCAACCGTTCGCTATAGGTGGTTGAATTAATTACCGCGCACGCCTTCTGACGTAGAATCAATTAATAATCGCTTATCGCTTTCTATAGAGTCCAACGCTATTCGTGTAAATGTTGCTTTGTTTGTTTAATTTGCCTTGTGTACGTATAACATGCTGATACGAGTACATAGTGTGTTTCCATAAAGGTCCCTTGTTAGACTTTCTGATATTGAGCGTGAACGCTACTGTAATATCTGAAAATGATATCTTATTAATGCATATCTGTAATGTATCAATAACAGCCAGCGAAATAATTAAATAATTATGATTTATACATTATAATGAGGGATGTTTGCACTTGATAGATTATTGGATTATGTAGGCTGACACGTTATTGAAAACAATGCTATATGCAAAATTGTCATACATTAATTCTAAGCTAATATTATTTAATCTATCATATTACAGCGTGATAAATAATTCGACGAATTACCACAATTTTATCGCATTTCTTTTTTCGCTCCGCTGAGCACGCCATGAAAAGTCGTGAAATCGAGTCGAAGTAGCAGCTCTCGAAGACTGAAACATGCCATTGAAGTTTAGAAGGCTTTATCGTTGAATTCAGCGCGGAAAGTTTGAAACCGGAAGTGCTTGTCTATAGCACTTCCGAGATTTTTATCGGTGGCCGAATCGGTTTTTAGCAGTTTGCCAGCCAATTCTCGCCGGAACTACATTTAAATGATTCGGATTTCTTTTTACTCACGGACAAGACTTTTACGTTGCTGCCGAAGCTTATTATGCGATCGCACGTTTTCTTTTTTATTTTTGCAGTTAATCGGCTACGCGAACTTGTGTTACGCCAGCGAGCGCAGCGAGGTCGATCCTGTGAATAGACAAATGATCCTCAGGACGCATAATGTAAGTATCTGTTCTTTGTTTGAAAATGGGCTGAGAAACCGTTGTGCTTTCCCTTCCTGTGGTATACAAGCGTGATGCATCGTGCAATTTACGATACATTTATTTGCATCACGAAATAGCTGCAGTAGCTGTATATTATCCGAAATAAATATCGCCGATATGTTATGGCGTTTGATTTGTCATTTTAAAACGTTTCTCAGCGTATATAATTGATGTGAAAATAGTTTTCGACATTTTATATTTTAATAATTTTATGTTAGAAAAACGATTCCTAAACGGAAAAATTTCTTTCGCGTAAACTATTGATGTCTCTCACGAAAAGCACGGCATTGTGTGATGTGAGACCATTTCCACGCTGACCGCAAAAACGATATCTCTAAACGTAATCCAATACCTCCGATCATATTTCCGGTTCCGGTATGTGTAGACTAGCACGGTTCCGAAATATCCATCAGCAGTGTGCGTACCTCGCTTAATTAGAATTGTATAAATCTGTTGCTCACACGGTTTTGATTGAATTTTTTAATGAAGACAGAACTTTTATGGTTCCCTCCCTTACAGATCTATTCGTAATTGTATATTTAATATGAATATGTCGCGACGTTTGGATTCAATTGCGATCCTAAATTAAATGCGGAACAGCATTATATGCTGAAACTATACTTTTGGCAGCATTAGTGTTCGATTTCATAATCTGATTCAGGCTGTTGTATTATTACATACGAGAAACATGTGCGAAAAAGTATTGAGAACCTGATGGATACAAGAATCTTGTATTTTAAATGCATAATTATTGTTGCTGGAATTGAATATTATTGATTATTTTTATTTTCAATATTTTTCTAGTTTTTAATTTAAATTTCGAGATTAGCGAGCGTAAGTGACAACATTAAGCAATTTTACCGTATATGCGCGTACCATCAGAAATAATATTCATCTCGTACTCGGCGGTCGGTTATCAACGGAAGCGTTGTATCGAAACGCATCGGCGATCGCATCGCGCACGGTTCCTCGTTTCTGCGATAACGAAGTGAGCATTTTTGAGCGATTTTTCGACCATAACGAAATTGCGAATGCGTCGCGGTCTCTGTTGCGAAATGGCACTTTAATAGAGTGTCGCCGGAAAGAAAGAGAGAATGCCGAGCGGTCGCTCCATTAGCGCGTAATAAAAGCGTTCTTCCCGCAACGTTGTTTCTCTTTACATATTTCGCTAGTGAAATGATGCAAATGTTATGAATAAATGGACTTCGTTGTGTAATAGTTTAAAGTTATTACACCGATTTATTGTTTTCACGTCTATTGAGTCGTTATTTGAATTTACCGTACGACTTTTATGATATGTATTATGTCACTCATATATATTGACGGTAAAATTGTATTTTCCAGCTTTTTCTCTAAATTTTAAAAAGGAAAACTTGCTGGAAATTATGTATGAGATATTTTAGACTAACGTTCTTTTAGGTAGTTAACCTAATTAAACAAAAATTTGGATATTGTATTAATATAATGGAAAACGTAATAATATATATATTATTGTGTTTTTCGTTGTTAATACAATTTTTGTTTAATACGGTTAACTATATATACCAACCTAAAAGAACGTTCTGTGATCTATTTTATTAATATACATACATAATATAAAATATATTTAAATAAAATAGATCATATCAGGGCGACTTTCCTCATTACTCTTTCTTTTCTTCGTATCGTGTAGATAGTTAAAAGTTGGTAGAGGCGAATTGTTATTCTCGGCTCGCTTTGTAACGGGCAAGTTTGTCAAATTGCGTTAAAGTCTTTCATGTCGGGTTCGTGACTGGAAAAGTCATTTGAAAATTTAATATTTTTCAATACTCTCTCGTGTAGTATGCGGATTATAATAAAAAAGTTGCCGACCTTCACGCGGTTCGTACATGCAACACGTTTTGCCGGATGAAAGTGCGTCGACGCAAAATCGCCGGATTTTTTCCGAGCCGCTATCAGAAAACGATTTTCGAGCCCCGATTTACATAACATCCGTTCCAAGGAGTATGCATAGTAAAGACCCTCAGGAAAAGTATCTAGCTGCAAGCTCGAAGAGATCGACGCGTCTGAAAGCGTGAGAGGGGGGCGTGGGCGAACGTGTCGAAGGGGGGGACGGGGAGCTGATGCACGCCACCACCGCATCCAGAAGGTTGGATATGATAGGTTATTGATGCGCGCATTACCGGGGGGTTGCATAGCTCGGAGAGCTTCTCGGCGCGGGGTATATCAGGTGGGATGTCAGGGAAACGGTGGGATATGGCAAGCCGAGGAGGATAAAGGAGAGGGGGCGCGGCATTGGTCGCGGCTCTCCCGTTCGCGTCGAAGATCATCCCCTCTCGCTTCGTTGACGGAAAAGAGACCACCAAGAGAAACGCGGGGTGGTAGATGCATTACTGGTATGATGAACGATCCGCAGGTGGCTTAAAGCAAAAGGAGGAGAAACCTCGCTCCTTTCCACGTCTACGGAGGAGCTGTTACGTCGACCTTTTCTATCCATCGAGATTCCGTATGTATCCACGCGAGTACATTATGTGCCGACGATCGTACTCACATGCTCCGATTCTGGCTAATTCGTACGGAGAGGAGGATGCTTTTACAAGTAGGGGTAATCGGTGCTGAGCGATGTACTCGCGCGGATAGCTGATGGGATAACTGAATGGGATGATCGAGCGATGGTAAATCGTCTTGCGAAGGTCGATGTAGCAATTCCATTAGCTACGCGTGATATTTTAACGGCAATTCATTGTTCATAATGTTTATCGACACTCTACTGACGAAGGAGTGCAATGAATTATAAGTTTATATTCAGTCGTATGTACATACACAGAGAAATGGAAGAGAAATGGATAACGATCATTTACGTAAAGTGGCTAAATAGATTCGCTATTTTTTGATATTTATGTAGCGAAGTGGAACGGCGGACCGCGTTATTTCTCTACACACATCGGGATGTAAAGGGTGATACATTAAATCGCATAAAAGCAGCAAACAGAGTGTACCGCTATTGTACCGCATGCAAGCCGATATACGGCGGGCAAAGACAAATCGCGGAGCATCTGAAGTATTAATGCGGAAAGCCGTATACAACGCGGGATGCAGTCGCGCATGATCGATTCCGTTTCGAATCCGTAGGTGAATACCGCAGACATCGTGCCACCGCAATAAATTCGCCTTTATCCGCTCATCGATCGTTTTACGGGTGCAATCTTGCCACCTTTATTCACGTCGATGCGTCACGTATAATATACGCACGGCTATCCCACGGGTTTGCGGGGCGTAAGACGGCAAAATACGTTATCGTGCACACATTATGCCAAGTATCCAACAACTGCGAAACGTGGGGAAGGAAGGTGATTTAAGGAAAATTCCGGCGCGCATGTCGCGTCACCGGGGAAATGCTGCGAGCGGTATGCAGTTGATGCCCTCGAATGAGACCGTCTCTCACACTACGTTTCGACTCCATCTTCCTCGTGGGCGAGTCATCTTTCTTATTCGTGCTATCCTCTTCAACGAGGAACGTCTCCGCAATTAAGGCTGTGGCCGAATTCCTCGGAATGTAGTGTTCATTTCTCCAAGCATGTCTCCAGGATTTCTGTTGTGTGCAACACAGCGCGCGTGCTTTGAGGAGTTAAATTCACGTTAAAATAAACATTACTACAACTTTCCTGGGAACGTCAGTTGCGTTTCAGTACGAGATACACGTATCATGGGATATTTACATTGTACGATATCGTATTACAAATTTATCACACTAGAACACCACAGGCGTGCGCGTGGTACACGCCATTTATTTCCTGTCACCGTATATTTTTCTATAGATTACAGCTTGAAACATGATTTTAAATTTATTTATTTATGTGTGTATGCATGTGCACGCGTTCACACACATACCGTACCAAAATTAATAACATTTTTTATTCAAAAAATTTTTAATTTAAATAAAATTTTATAAATATATAATTTCTGTATGAATATATTATTAATTACTAATCATAAAACATTGTATTTATATTGGAAATTGTAATTACGTATATTTATTATTAATACATTGTGTTAAATAAGAAGCGATTTTTCCAATTAACCGATTAATGGAAAATAACTTGGAGATATTTCTTTTGATGATAAATTTAATTAAATATTAATTAACTGATATTCACTTGATTTTGACAAACATGAACCAGAATAACAACATACATCATAACATTCATGTTATTCATATGGTTAGTTATTCTCTCTATCACGCTTTTTTAAGACGTTTTACGATCTCTTACGGTCATATCTTAAACAATCTAGCGATTGTTGATCATGATAATCTACAAGGATGTATTTGTCACATTAGAGACGAACTCAAATTGGAATCGAATAATCCTCTCGGGACGAGTTTACGGGATGTGTTTCCTAACGCGTACGAACGCGTGTCATGTAGACAGGAGTGCACGCATGTTACACGCACGTTATATGTCGTGCGAGGAGATCGCGAGAGATGATGTGCGATTTGATATGAGCCGACGAGGCCAGTTGAAGTACAACTAGTCCCGATCGAATCCTTTCTCTGCCGGGGAGGAGGGATATATCTTTTAGCAATTCAACCCCCTTACCAGATAGCTAGCGTTGCGCATATCTGACGCATACGTTACTCTGTGATACGCCGTTGTGTCGTTGATCCTAAGTACACGCGCAGTACATGTGCATCGTGTTACAGGACCGAACATAATGGGATACCTGGATATCGTCCGCGAGGATTATACTCGATACACGCGAATATTAAGACGATCTCGATCACGTCCCGGAATAATTGAGTGGCTGCGCGCACGCACGGGGAAGGATTTGACGGATTTCCGCGTCGATTTCCGCAAGTCGCCATTATCTCTAGGAGATTACGTCCGCAATTGGTTATTAATTCGCGTAAATAAATCGCACATGGTTGTTGAGATGGTCACGAATCTATCTCTTTTTATCTTAGGGACACGTTATAACTA